TCATTAACTGCTAAAACATCTAAATATTTATCGTGAAGTAATAATCGGATTTCATCAAGGTGTTTCGGAAGGCTAACTACATTAAGCATAGCCATCTTAAACCCCCTTGTTTTCGGAATATTTAAACAGGCATCATTAGCACTCCTCCTCGACCCGTCCTCATTTCAATTATGCGAACTTAAGAAATATGAAAAGTTTGCCTGAAGCAAAGAGCTACCTTCTCGGTTTAAATGCAGTCCTCTACTATTTAAATGAGAGCGACTAATATTACTATTGTCTAAAAATGCAAGCTTTTTCTTCAAGCAGCTTGACTTTAATATATTGTTGGTCTCATTTACCTTCGTTGTAAGTTCCTCTCTATCGCATCTAGTGACTAAAGAAGAGATGATGACTTCAGTATCATTGCAATCCTTTTTAAAATTCTCTGCTAACTCGATAATTTTCTTTGCAATTTCTTTAGGACTTGAATATCGTATGTCGTTTGTGCCTGCATGGATAATGAGCTTATCGGGTTGCTTTCGTGCAGTGGGCTTTAAGAAATCAGACATATCATTAACTGTTGCACCTGAGAAAGACTTAACTATTACGTTTCTGTCAGTGTTGGATACTTCCCAACCTTTTACATATTTTATAATCGAATCTCCAGCTATAACGACAGTTTCTTTAGTGCGTTGTCTTTCTGCTGTTATTTCCTCACTTGCCTTATGCGCTTCTCTTGTTTGCTCGTTTTCCTTTGCCTTTTGTTCGTTATTCTTCACCTTTTGTTTCTTCTTCTTATGCTTTTGTTCCTGATTAATCTGCTTCGTAGTTCTTTTTCCAATTTCTCGTTGCGCCGTTGATGCATGATCGGTTTCACTGTCACTTGCAGCAACACAGCCATGTTTTGGATCTTTGGGTCGTTCTTTGCTAGTGTCCTGGATTTCTTTATTCTGGGGAGCCTGTGTAGACTTTAAGATGACGCTGTCGTCCTCACTAGCTTCACTGTTGTCGATATCATCACTCAAGACAATATATTGATTTTTTATCCGAGTTGCACCATCTTTGTCCCTGATGTCACCACTGGGACCAATTGTAGAATAATTCTTTGAGGAACCACGGCCAATCTGAGACCTTTTATGATTGTTTACAACATTCCAAGACGCTATAGATTTATTAGCATGACAAGTATGTTGATTTTGATCATCATGTAGAATTTTAATAACGGTGACCAAGCTGTCTTTTTCATTTTCTAAATCTTTGACCTTTGTTCTCAAGTCCGATGTAATACATTTGTAGTTGTTAATCTGCTGTTTAAGTAAAGCATTTTCATCTTTAAGACTAGCGTTCTCTTTAACGAGAAATCCCTTATTAAAAACCGTAGATATTGATTCGTCACGAGACTTGATGATTTCGTTCTCGTCTCTTGTGAGGTTCCTGATATCTAATTCTGATCTTATTTCCAGAGCTTCGCTTGCAAGTTCTGTGTATTCAGCTTCTAGGTTCTCTCGCGCAATTTTCTCGACATGTAATTCTAGTCTAGTCTCGTGCACTTCGCTTGCGAGATCATTTATCCTACTTTCCAACTTCGCCTCAAGGCTTCTTACGGTATTAAGCAATGATTCATACTCGTTTAACTGACCAGTGGAAATTTGATTCTCGCTTTCGTTACTTGCTGCTTCCTCATCCAAGTTGATTGGTATTTCGCCATTACCAGAGACACAGGCAGCATTTGTGTCTTCGGATTCTAACTGTAGCTGTTTGTTGAGATGAATAAGTTGAGTCTTAAACTCATCACACGACTTTCCATTAATTGTAAGTGAGTTACTATCTGAATACCATCTTACAGCAACTTCATTCAGCTCAAGCAACTTACAATAGCCGCCGGGAAACGACCATTTTGTTTCTTTGCCGGTCAATTCGTTCATCAAATTTTTGAGACCTTCAAAAGGGCCTATCCATTTGAATTTGTTCTTGTCATTTACAACAAGATACTTTGACGTACCATTTATGTATTTTACTTGATCTACAACATTAGTTGAGGTCTTATCAGCCAAATCAAAATCTATATTATCGGAGCTCAAGAGTGCATGACCTTCGTCCATGACTGCGTATGTTTTCTCAAAAATTCGTCTTCAAAAATTCGTCTTCGCTCGCAGTCAAGAGCAAAATATCAATCCCAAAAAACACGCCCCCAACCCCTCTTATAGTTTTCTTAATTATGTAATATTGTTAATATCTAATGGTAGCCACAGAATTTTTCACAGATAGTAACAGGCAAATTAAGAACAAAATCTTCTATCAAATATGGTGAAAAAGCCAACAAAAGTAAATTTAAAGTGTCAGGCAAAACAAGGTAAATTAGCCCATCATAGTTCCGATGTTTAAACGCACAAAACTGCTCCAAAACTCTACTGATCAAATCACTCGATAAAACCTACAATATGTTTATACTTGATTGTGTTGTCTCTTATTCTTTATAGCCTGTGTACAGACGTTACCCTCGACGAAGCGCGGGAGAGAACGTCTGTGAGTTGGATGAAGATTCCTTGTTCTGGTCACGTGGATTCTCCCCAGATTTGTGGAAAGGCATCTGATTGGACAGTGCTTTATTTGAATAATATATGACAAATAAAGATATTTCATTGGTTAATTGATAATTAGCATGCGTGTAAAATAACAACACAATTTTAAATTCAATAATTTTAAATTCAGAGATTTCCTCAAGAATCAAGATTTCCCTCGGGGCAGCTGCATACAAAAGTTTGAAAGACTTGAAACATGCTGTATCGAAGTTTAAGAAAATCAAGACAAAATTCTAGTGTTTGGACACTCAGTGAACAATGCTGACAAATATATAAAATACACAGGGGCGGCGCTACAGGTGGGTTGGGGCACTCGTCAGCAAATCGTCAAATTATTATTTCAGTCGGCAAAACTGGATTGGCTAAAGATAACCACTGAAGAAACCAAAATTGACTTCCTGAATAATTGAATTCAAACCGAATATCACGACTAGCATGCATCAAAGAAACCACACATGCAGCAATGCAAATTCTTTCTAATTAAATTTGTTTGGTTGTTGTTGTTCAGTTGTTGTTGCTTATCATTTTTCGCACGAAGCGACCTTTTCCTTTGTCGGTATCACTTATTACGTCAGCAAGACGTGGCAACATCAGTCCTCGAAAACGAGGTCGGCATTCCAAGGTCGGCAAATTTTTGCCGACCTTAATTCAACCAAAGTAAGAATTTTTGGTGCTGTTAGCTGTTAAAAAGTCAGCGATTATAGAATTCGATTCGTAGTTCGATTAACTGAACACACACGGTGTAAGGTTTAAAAATTGACGGGTATTGTGTATATACGTTAGGTGTCTGAAGATCAAATTTCGCGCGTCTGGAGTTAAAATTTGGCTTCAACTTTCGGATTTTCTAGCTGGAGGTAACGTTCCAGTTATATTCCGATTTCAATGATTCGTAAATGCGTGATTAATAGTGCTCCAAGACGTGAAACAGATTTTAAGAAATGCCGAGACGTGCCGACCTAGGTCAGATTTAGGTCGGTCCTTTTTTGCCGATCTCAATTTTGACGATTTTCGAGGGCTTCAAAATGGATGCCGATAAAGGAAAAAGGTCGCTTCGCGCGGAAAAATTCGCTAGTGGAAAACCGGCTTAATAGAGGGTAATAAAGCGCATTTAGGGGCGACCCATTTGATTTTTTTTTTTGGGGGGGGGAGGGTTGGAAGATTTAAAATAAAATCTCCTGCAATCCAAGGAGAAAGAGAAAAAAAATCATGCAGCATATAATCGAGAAAAAAATATATCATGCAAAAGAGAGCGCTCAACGTTCTTCACTTCAGTATTGTGTCCACAGGCTTGCAAGATTTTGCGTTTTTGAGCAGGCACATTTGCTTAAAAGAACACGGGGTGAACAGTGGACAACATCACAGGGATTGTACCGCCTTTGGAGCCTATAACATGCGATAGCTGGTGGCGTTCCCTGGCAATTAAAAACCGCAAAATTGTCCCCCCCCCCCCTAAGAAAATCTGGGCTTAAGATATGTACAAGTTATTTATACATATCTAATATGCATGGTAGATAAAGTATTTTTGGATGGTTGAGTCTGTGTGCGTTTTTTGATAACATAGCTCCAAAATTAAACTATTTTAAAAGCTTCAAAGGCCCATCTACAGAATGCAAGTTGAACGTATTGCATATACGATGATTTTAATCCGAAAATGCCAGTTTAGAGAGTCTAAATTTAAAAAAATTTCTGAAGAGGATGCAACCCGATCCCCAACAAGCTATCTGTATGAACGATTGAAAAGCTACAGATCGAGCTATATTTGGTGGAACATTGTTGTTTCGGAGGGCAGTTAAAAATCGCATTATTGAAATCTTGTTTTCACTATTACATATTAATCAAAGCTCATTTTGTGATTTTCTCTTGTTTAAAATAAAGGACAGTAAGTGTTCCTTAGGTTTAGTACAGCAAAGTTGTTGGACGAATCCATGGCTGAAAACGCAGGAAATAGCATTTCCCAGGTTCAAATTTAAAAATTTTCTCGCAGGAGCATGCCCCCGAACCCCCCAAGGTTACAGGTCATTCATTTACTGTACCTCTCCCATCTTCGACTACTCTACACTATTCCTGCATGTTTTTACGGAAGCCGTGAAGGGACTTCAGACTTCAGACTTCAAACGTTGGTTCCGAGCTTCGCTAATAGCCAACATTGCTTCTGCGAAGCTGGCTAATATTCAAGGCACATATTCAGTCAAAGCTATTCAAACTAAAGTAAAAAATGGTCAGAATGATTTAGATTGCAAATGCAGACTGTTGGAATGTGTCAGTGAGTTCCGAAAGTTCTTTGCAGGTTTAAACGCAGAACGATAAAACATATAATACTATTGTTTGTAGAAACACCACGTAATTACGTAAATTTATTACTGCAGTAAATTTATTAACTTTATTCTGTAAATTTATCAAGTTAAGTATAACACGCGCTCAAAACTAATGCGTGTAATATACCACTTGAGGTTATGACTAAATTCAAAATTTTTATTTTTCGAAACGTTTCTCAATCGGCAAACAAACTTAAAAAGTATGTTTAGTGCTTTATCTGTAAAATAATGCTAAATTGAAGAGATTTTAAACTACCCAAAGAGAAAATTATGTCTGAAGTTCAGTAAGTTTTGCTTACATTGCTCGGCTTAAATATGGCGTCAATTTTAAAGCATCATTGATAATTGTATTTTAATTGACAATTGTTAACTATGATTTTATGTTTCTCAACCGGCAGATGCATTTAAAAAGGTAGCTAAATGTATAAACTAAAGAATAAAGCAAAAACAAAGTGATTCTAAGAGGAGGAACGCAAAAGCAATGTTGGCTATTAGCGAAGCTCGGAACCAATGTTTGACAATCAGACTTCAGACTTCAAACTTCAGACTTCAAACATTGGTTCCGAGCTTCGCTAATAGCCAACATTGCTTTTGCGTTCCTCCCCTTATAGAATCACTTTGTTTTTGCTTTATTCTTTAGTTTATACAGTTGGCTACCCTTTTAAATGCATCTGCCGGTTGAGAAACATAAAATCATAGTTAAAAATTGTCAATTAAAATACAATTATCAATGATGCTTTAAAATTGACGCCATATTTAAGCCATATTTAATAAAGTTAATAAATTTACTGCAGTAATAAATTTACGTGGTGTTTCTGCAAACAATAGTATTAAATGTTTTATCGTTCTGCGTTTAAACCTGCAAAGAACTTTCAGAACTCACTGACACATTCTAACAGTCTGCATTTACAATCTAAATCATTCTGACCATTTTTAACTTTAGTTTAAATAGCTTTGACTGAATAAGTGCCTTTAAAAATATTAGCCAGCTTCCCCTATGCAATGTTGGCTATTAGCGAAGCTCGGAACCAATGTTTGAAGTCTGAAGTCTGAAGTCTGAAATCCGAAGTCCCTTCACGGCTTCCGTATGTTTTAGGTTTTGGTGCAGTTATACATTTTTTGTAAGTAAACCTGCACGCTTTAGTGTGGGGAACATTAAGACATAACCATATAAAATAAAGCACAGTGAAAATTCCTTGGCCCCTCTTGGAATTCAGTTAACGTTCTCGGCCTCCTCTGACTGAAAACCCCGGCTACGTCTCTGACGATAGCTATATGAAAGCGCAAAAAAAATATTCTGCCGCGAAATATATTGGGAAAAAATATCTTGCGCTGCACTTTTACAGGAAAAAATATCTGTCTTGTTCCCCTGGGCGGAAAAAAATTCTTGCACAGTCTGAATCTTCCACCCCCCCCCCTAAAAAATCAAATGGTCCGCCCCTTAAACATACACATTTACTATAGGCTAATGACTCGGCAAAATTACCAAACAACAGTCGGCAAAAGATCACTCACACCCCACTCGAAGAGGGTTAGCGCCGCCC